AAGGCTATTGGCTTGGAGCTATTCGAGATTTGCACAAAAAGATGAATGATTCCTTGAAAACTTGCGCAAACAATCTCCTATAGCCTAGCAAAGCTTCCTTCGCTGAACTGAAAAACGTATGGGCGATGGAGATCGAAGGCGATTACGCACCAGCGAGCAAACAGGGGTAACCGTGCAACGGGGACATTGGTACTAGTCGTGGTCCTCTAGCATTGCAGTATTAGATGGTGCTTACGACGTCATAGTGCCCGACGCCGGCTGAGATGTAAGGTGACAGAAACTGCACTCGTATGGTTGTGCAACAGAGATGGTCTCCGGGTCAATCTTGAGTGTCGAGGATGTTGTAACGGAAATAATATTGGGAGTACGTTAGTACATCCGATGAATGGCCCGCGCCAAAAGCATGAAGCAGATGTTGAAATGTTTGACTTGGTGCGGAAATAACCTATCGACGAGCGATACTGCAGCAAGCGTTAGTGGTTTCAGCCGGGAAGACGTTTAAACTATGCTGCTTACGACTGTAAGAGCTACATCGTTGGAAGTATGTCCGAGGGAGGGGGGCAATTAAACCAGAGCTGCCAGATATGTTGACTTGTGAATAATAAACTAAGCTAAATGCTGAGTCAGTGCGTCGACCGCAACGGGGTCAAGATAGGTCAGTAAGACTGCGTTGGCCACGAGACTCGTTCAGTAGTAGGTTAGGCTGGCGAATGATGCTAGATAAACGTGCCAGGAGACCAACGCAGATCGAAACTATGAAGTTTTTCGCACAGGCGTTAAATAACGGTGTGGATAAATAGTAATGGCAGCGTACACAAGAAACGACCTCGAAAGGGATTAACTTTGCGGCTATGCAACGGTTCAGATGATGAATGGAACGAACGGAGACTTTTAGGCGTGAACGTTTAACTGTCTGATGGTGTTCAAATTAGTGCAGTGGGCTGAATGCGTGCACGTTGATAGACGCTTGATTAGCAATTGAGGCAGCAGAATAGGTGAGGATGTGTAAAGCGATGAAATAATACTGTGACCAGTGGAGGTTAAGGATTGTAGTGTCGTCAATAACCGTATGTAAGCTGCTGTCACAAGAAAAACACACACAAAATGTATAGGAAAGCAAAAGCGTGTAGAATTTGAATGTGGATCCACTTAAGACCAGTGGCAATAAATGATGCGAATAATAAAACCGCTAACAACACTGAAAAAGATGGTGAACGCGTTTAACTAGAAGGTTACAGAATTACTCTGCGTAGTACAGGCTACGGCGACCTAGCAAAAAGGACTAAACTCATCTATTTGTGTTGGAGGTAAAATTGAAAATACACTGAAAGTAAGATTTGAGAAGGTGATCAATAATTTATAATGATGAACCGTAAGTGAAATGTCCAGAAAAAAATGCCTGTTAATATGATTCATCGAGTTGTGACAGTAGCCGGAATAAAAACGTTAAACAAATCATTGTTCGGATTCACCAGTTCAATAACCGAAACAGAAGTGTTGAAAGAAAAGGAATTATTAATCGGACTTATCAGCAAGCCGCAGTGTATCAGTAATCACTTCCATATTCGATGTCCTAGAAGCACTTACGTGTAACTCATTTCATTTTACGATAGTTGTGATGTACACTGTGACCAGTATTCTTTCGTCAACATAACTATCTATCTATACCTATCTAAGACAATAGAAACAGGGAATTTTCAGACAGGAAGGCTGCATTATACACCACATTCAGAAATTTGTGCAAACGATCTATCTTTGGCTGAATCTGCTCGCATAAACTAATCAAATTTTCTTACCTGCTATTAGTTAATTGTGGTAATTGCAGGAGGATTTCTCGAAATTAGCTTGTTTTGCGGCATAACTGTGCAAGTGCTTTCTCTTTACATCCATCATGTTGTTACAATTCATAGAACAACATTCATGTTCTACAACTTGCTTTTCTGTAAACAAGATTATCTGTACAAACCTGACATGAAATATTGGTAGTATTATTAACGTAATTGCTCCCCAAGATGTGCGAACATCACAGAGATAAATTTTAGCCAGTTTTAAGTGTTTTGACCTCATATGAATGACTTCGACTATTTCATTTGCAACAAGTTTATTTTTAAGGTCGTCTGCCGAATTCGTGAAAACCTGCTGTAGATGATTTCAGTCAAAATATCGACCCACTTAGTGGCATGTTCACTGCACTTAGGAGAATGTTGGAAGCCCTAAGCTTTGCTCCCTTGCAAATGTTCGAACGGATTGTACCAACGGATACGCGAGCGGTAGAAGAAATGAAAACTACAGCCTCTCTATCGACCAATTGTTCATTTATGTAACTAACTAATTTCATAATTGTGTTGTCCTCCAAAGTTTATAATTTAAACACATAACTGGTAAATACGTGCATAAGGATGTTGCTCTTGGCAAGAAGTCATGCAGCACCACACATGATCTGTATTTGAAGATAGTCAACAACGTTCAAATAGACACATTTGCAAACTCTGTTGAGACTGAAGGATTTACGGAAAATTATTGGTTTATAAGATATTGACAATACGAATATATGAGGAAAAACACTATTTGACACTATTTATACACCATTTAGACGTAAAATTGGGAATAATGCACCTATCTGCTGTTGCTTATTAGTCACCGCTAATGGTTACATCAGTAGCTAGAGAACAGTTTTGACACAGATGAGAAAACTACTCACTTATGAGTAATGATCAGGTTGCCCGATCGTCTGGACAGGAGACACAGTTAATGTCTGTTAACTCCAATCGATAACCCCGCAGTTAGGACTTCCTAGAGAGGTAGAAATCTCCGATCTCATTAAACCTGCTAGGCAACATTTTAGATTACTGATGAGTAGTCGGGGATTTCGTTTAATGATATCCGAGATTTCTACCTCTCTAGGAAGTCTTAACCGCGGGGTTATCGATTGAAGCGAACAGACAGTAACTGAGTCTCCTATCGAGATGATCAGGCAACCTGATCATTAGTCACAAACGAAAGTGGTTGAGCGTTCACATACGATGATTCGGTTGTGCCTAATGTGGGGTCATTGGCGTAGTGGTCAACACGGTTGCCTCATGAAAGTGTGGCCGGAGTTCCAGTCCCAGCAGTGGAAAGGATATACACTACTGACGAGCTTTATTTACAACGAAACTCCAGTCTAGTACTTCCGCTGTTCGAAAGGAGCCAACTGGAATGTTTATGGGAATGCGAAGGCTGCAATGAATTGTGGGTGACGTTCAACTTGAACTATCCATCAGTATTTTGCGACTCCAAACTGAAGTGTGTTCCATGATCCGATTACATAATTGCCGCTCAGTTCTGCCCACGTAATTTGTCCGGGGCGCACGTCAGAAATCACAGACGATGTCATATTCAGCATTTAGCGGTATCGATGTTTCCAGTTCTTGTCTTTGGATTCTGTTGGTTGTGAACAGTATGATGAGCTGGGCTGTATAGAATGCGCGCCCAGTAGCCGCCATGAGGGGGGTTTTCAACAGAGTAATAACGGCATCACCTCTGTAAAACAGATTGATGTGGACATTCAATGATGGAGGTGTTGAAGTTCTCACGGCAGTCGGCTTTTGTCCGCTAAATTTCTCCACCAATGCCAATAACTAGCCATTTTCTCTGAGCGTGGTTCTCGTGTTTCTACTGCACGATAAAACAGTTTTCGTTAGATCACGTTTATACTGGATCGGCACATAACTGTGGAAGCTACGGTATTGCTCACTCCAGGTCTGGTCCTGGTAGACAGACACATCGCACTGTTCGGGTGCCTCATGAGAATATCCAAAGTCTCCACAGTTTCATCTTACTCGTTTTCAACGGTAAGGAATTCAGCTTGTTTATTGAATCGAGTGTGCTTGTTGCCATCCCCTTGATGTCGGCCATTAGCAGAATGCTGTTGATATAACGCCGGTAGAAGTGAACCTGGAAGATTACAGCATCTGCATTCTGCTCCAGGTGGGCAACGAATATATCGGCTAGTATCGGACCGGGCGGACTGTCCATGAGAACACCAGCAATTTGTGTATAGCCATTTCCCTGGAGGTAGAACTTTATGTTCGCGGTGCAAAACGACAGAGGGCGTTCTAACTCACCCGTAGAGAATTCTATGTCCAATAGACGTGATTCAATATATTGATAAATTATATTAACCGTTTGCATCAGAGGAACAACTGTGAACGAAAACGTTATGTCCAAACTGGTCATATGTTTTTTGCTACAGTCCAAACCACCAAGTAAGTCGATTAACTCGGAATTATCTCCCACAGTTTTTCGAAACACTGATACGTGCCGAAGCAGTTGGGCCAACCACTGTGGCAACTTGTGTTATGTTGAACTGAATGTGGATAATGTTGGCCTTAGAGGTACACCAACTTTGTGAAGTTTGAACAAGCCATACAGCTGGGGAGTATGTGATCCTCTAGATGTAATTAATTTTGCCGTTGACTAACCAAAGAAGTGTTCTTGCAGTAATACTTATACTTCCTTGTTAATGAGTCGTTCAAGTTCGTTAGCACTGTTCACTGAGTTTTCTCATTAAATGACTACTAAACGACAAACAATTCCGTCACTCTGTTGGAGTGGATGGACACAGTAGGGGGGTGAATACGAGCGTATAACTCAATCGCACACAGGCTTTCTGTCACAAGCCATGCTGATGTACCTTGTGGCCAAGCGTATACGGATGTTGTCTCGTAACGTGAAAGGTAGTTCTATCCTCATTCAGATTGTCCCTACCTGTTGTGTGCAAGCGAAAACGAAACTGGTGGTTTTGTGTCCGTTTAAGGGTGAACAGCAAAAATCATTAATAAAGACTGGTTGTGTTACAAATTCACTCATTTCAAATAAGCATAATCCACTTCAAAAAATTGCAAAAACGTGTACTCAGATCTCTCGTTCTTCCGTTGAGTGTACGTAAATATATTTCGTTACTAATAAGTAGTTTGGCAGATTTATGATTCCAGATAAGACCCAACTGTGAAAAGTCAGGGCTTCCGCTGGATTCGAACCAGCGACAGAAACACCATGTCTCAATGCGGCGAGTGCTCCAACACCTGAGCTACGAAGCCACGCCAGGAGCACGGAAGTTTCATATTTGGACTCGGTAACCCACCCGTCCCACTGTCTCATATGGAATCCACCAAATGATCCAGGGGATTGACTGCCCCGATAGGATTTCTCGAACAGTTCACGCTGGAATCCACCAAAGCCATTGTTGTGCATAGCTGTTTATGTCGATGGTTCGAATTCAGCCGAAGCCCTGAATTTTCACAGCTGGGTCTCATCTAAAATATATTACAAATAAGCGTACACGTCACTAATATCCTAGTCGCCACAAAAATAGAAATAACTTATACAATTAACTGTACCTTTCACTCTCCCTGCTTTGTTTAAATGTGGGGTTAGGTGTCAATCATAGTTTGTGGTTTTCTAAAGTATGCACGCTTTAAGGCTATTAAAATTTTCAATATGAACCCAAAACACAACAGTGTGACACTAAACTATAAGTAATTGAATAAACGTATCTTGGATTAATCAATAACTTTGTTAACCTTAACATATCAAATTGACAAAGGCTTTATGGCAGTTTATTGTTTCGGAAGGCATGGCTGATACATTGTCATTAGCGTACATTCAGCAGCCCTCCAAATATTCATAAATCTGTGTAAGTGATAAGTACTGCTGATATTAATGGGACACAATGTCGGCCAGTAAAGCCCCAAAGCCTATGTATTGGGTTCAGAGTAAGATCAATGGGGTATTCCGTTCCGACGATGTGTGTTGAACTGTTGTCCTGCGGGAATAGTGGACCCAGCAACGTTATACGATTGTGATGACAACCATGTTTGCTTTTTGCTTCATGGTACTTCTCAAATAGTCATTCTTTTAGTTAAAAATGGATATGAACCAACTTAATTACCAAAGTATACAGCTCATCTGATATGCGTATTCAGTAACACTATGCAGGTTTTAATTTGACTCAACAGTATCCAAAGACAACTCCAAAGATCTTATAAAATTTGCTTTATCGGGACTCATTCAACTTGTCATCTACTACAGACGATTTTGAAGACGCCCTCAAAAGGTAAGATGAATTATTTTGTTTAGCTGGGCTGAAAACCCAGAAACAGTTTAGGAGGACTCTGTACTTTAAAGAGGTAAATTTGAACGTAGATCCATGTTGCTAATTATCATAAAGAGCACTTGGTCTGAATTCAGGTTGAATTACCGTTTTTGTGCTTTGATTCAATGTTTATGGTCTTTTCCGCTTTGTTCAAATGATTTAACAGTGATACAACCCTTAAGGGTTTTTACAATTTTATTTGACTTCTGATCATTCTCAGTATTGCAAATCTTTTAAGTCCTACTTCTCGGTTATCAGATGCTTAACTTATTTTGACTAGAAAATGTCCATTAGAGTTCTCACTTCATGTGTTCCACCCATTTGTTCGGTCATTCAGCAAAAACATCCTGATTTGGACTGAGTGGCACCCATGAGTGAGAGTGGTGTTCATTGAAACTTTACTTTTCCAGCAGTATCATCACAAAACATTGTTGGATGGTACCGGCGCAGGTTGGGTGCAGTAAAGTATTCTGCGCATAACTGTTGGATCGAACTTTTATATCTGACATCAGTTTTTCACAAGCCCAATTAACTGATGAAAAGATGCACTATTTTCAGTTTGTAAACAAACCTTAACTGCGGACCACAACTGTGTGGCATATAGAACTTAGAAGGGACATTGAAGTACTTGGGTGTGCGATTTTCTAATGTGGCTGGTTGCATGTTTCGCGAAACCAGCATAATTGTATTGTCACTCTCTAATTCTTGGACATCAGTCAACAGATCCTGATTAGAGTTTAAGGGTAGAGCTCTGGATCTGCTCCTCAGTGGAGACATTACGGGTAATTTTGACGCCCAAAAATAACCGGAACTTCAGAAATTCACCTTATACAGTCCAACTCAACCTAGCCGATTGAAGGCCCTACATGAAACATACTGTCTACCTGGTTTGTTCTGTTATTTATGCGTGACGATTCAATTTTCGTTGCCGCTCCGGAGCTAATTACTTTGGTCATATATCTAGACACCTGGCTTATTGGAGGCCTGGCCAAAGGTATATATATATATATATACGTCGCCGATCTCGTTGACATGGGCTGTCAAACTGCAATTAAGTGTCCAACTTGCCCATAACATACCACATAAGAGTGGTACCGCCGTTAAATCTATCATTACCCATAGATGTAACAATTTTAAATAATCGCCTTAAGTTTTCGGACGTGTTCCATCTCCCTTGGTTTGCTTGTAAACAGCCGATCAGAACTTTATATCCACGTATTTGATGTACCTATGACATATCTTTGTAGACGCAAAGTTTCACACACACTCCACTTGATTTATTCCGTGGTTATCCCTCGCCATCTTCAGATGCTCGTTGTTAATCACAATAACATGCATATATTGTTCCTTTCGTATTTGTCAGAAGCAGAAGGTACCAAAAAGAAAACACCGTCCGAAATTACTTCTCTTGATCAATCTAGTCATTTTGCGTGCTAATGCTTCAAAGTACAGAGCCCCCTGTCAAAGGGAATATTACAGTGTCACCTCTGTAGATAACAGATCCCATTCAGTTTATCATGAATGTTGATCACTGATAAGTGAACAGCATGCCAAATGCTCCACTTTCAAGTTGACAAGCTGGTGTTTTCATCTGATGGGAAACTGAAGCTCATTCATTAAGTGGTAATGTCTTCATATCTGGGCAACTAAGATCCAGTTGGTGTATTTAATCTAAACCTTCGACCAGTAGGCCTGATGAAAGGAGTGAGAAATACTGTCCGCTGTTTTGCTGATCACACAATCATTGTGTTCTTCTTTTGAGGTGATTTATTAGCAAACAAGTGTAACTTTACCAATGCGTGCTGTGTTGATTTGTTAATTCAGTGGTATGCACGTTCGTATTGCGAAAGTAAACATTTGAGTATGACTTATACGCCAAGTAAAATGATTTACAACTTCAACATTTACATTAGAATGTTACACTTGTTTCCACGAAGATGTGGTGCTGGCTCCTAACATTTTTCTTCTTTGTAGTTATGTTGCGACCCGTAACGATAGCAACGTAAACGGGCGATCGGGGTTCGCAGGTTATGCGACTAGTCCACTTATATGTGCGAAACAAATGATCATACACGACACTCTTTTTGCCTCAAACTAGTCTTGAAGATGTACTGATTGAATCGGAATTCAAATATTTATAACGTTTAGTACTCAGGAATATAAATTAAGGTGTATGTGGACAAGGACGCGGACAGAAGCTGGATAACACGAAGGGCAACCAATCAACAGTGACGTCTAGCGTAGCAACAAAAGATCAAGAATTTTCCCTAACATCGGTCACGCAAAATCCGGTGCAGATTCTTGATTCTTAGCAGAAAGCTTAAGCTTCCGATTTTCAATTTAACATTCAGCATAGTTCTTGTGAAAAGGTAAAGTTTGCCAAGCAAGTTAAAAATTAGCGTTCAGGTTAATTGTGCCGTTCTTCTCAGATACATCGGAGTTCGTAGCTCAATATAGATGTCATGAGCACTTGCGGAAAATGCGCTCAAACACAACTCACCCGGAAATAGACATTACTGTATATATTATGAACAGCGTTGTTACTGTACTAAAAATCTGAAAACGCTGACGTCATATTTTTTTATTGTTATGTTGGCATTTGAGCATTCCAGGCGGCTCCGGTTTCTGCATATTTTCAGGAGGATTTGTCGACATAAACTTTGATCAGTGAACGACTAAATTTGATTTAAATGGCTTAAATGATTCGTAGGTAAGTCATTACCTGCAAACCAATGTTTCCACCGTTATTATGATAGGATTTGTGCTATAAATTTACAAGTGATATGTATCTAACGAGCGAGACAACCGCGAAACCGATTGCGTGCTTCTGGTGAATTTTAACTGCCAAGTACATGCCGTTCATGATGCATTTATTTTTGTTTCTCATGTCCTAAAAGTTGACGTTTTAAAAATTTCATTACATGGTAAAGTACATTTCTACACATAATATGTGAGATATTCACATTCCATCAGTATGGATATACAGCGCTTATCTTAGATTATAAAGTTTCAACGTCCACAGTAGTTTCAATGGTTATTGAGGTTGCCTATTAAAATGAACTCGTAAAAACAATTTCGGTTCTGCGTAGACTTGTGAAGCAGAAACAATTTGAACGAGTTGTGGAGCTGTAATCTTACGTAGTACTAGGAAAACGGTTATCTGATACAACATTAGTTCAGTATACATGGCTCTCCTCAAGATGTTTGTTAAAAATGATGTTTAGCTTTTTTTATATGCTTGATGTGGCCAGACAATAACAAAATCAACTGTGAGGTATCGATGTCAGACAAGCATCATATTCTCTTCCTGTTCTCACAGAATTCATAGCAAGTTGACTTTGAACGTGAATATTTTCGGTCCCTATTTCTAGGTGTTTAATATACTATAACAGGTGTACGTTGTATACATTCTAATCAGAACAAGGCACAGAGGTCAATAAATGACAAGTGCACTGAACGAATTTCAACAGACTTGAAACGAGTGAGGTTGTTTTCGAATAAGTGACTGTTGCTGGTACCTACCGTGAAAAGAGTTCTAGATAGTGTCAAGTGGTTTGCGCAACAACGGTTGACTACCAGCATACTTCAAGTTGAATATCACCCACAATTGATCGCAGCTGTCGCATCCCCATAGACTTTCCAGTCGGCCGCTTTCAAAAAGAAGCACCAGACTCGAGTTTTTCTCTCATTAGAGCTCGCCAGTAGTGCAGCAGTGTATATCATTTTGTCAAAAGTTTCCGAACCGTACTAATATGTGTTCCCAGAACAACTGGACTTAATGCAACGGATACTTTTTACTCTTAGAACGATTTTATACATAAAACGTCAAAAATGATTGTACAAGCAAAACGAACTCGAGCGTTATTACTGAAATGTTGGTGTATGGTACTATTTCGTGTTTTGGTTACACTCATACTAATCCTCCTCAGTTGTTGATACCACAAA